TTGCGACAACGAGGTCAACCCACTTCTATAAATCGAAAGGAGACTGCGACCATACCAGAGACCACAACATTTTGGTTCTCAAATCTTTAATAATAGTTGAGGTTACCCTCATTTCGAATGTAAATGTTTGGTGAAAAGCTTCGAAGGTCGATCCCACCAGATGACTATAGTGGATTCCTACTGACCTACTGGAAAATTCTTGTTAACGCTGTTTTCGAGACAATCTCTTTGGATGTATTAGGCATATTGACCCTATTTCGTTTAGACCGACGAAAGACTGGTATTAGGATTTTTCCACAATGATATGGGTAGACTTTATGTTTCCATTGAATTTAACCTAGTCTTGCCTCGTCTTCCATCAAATTCACTTCAGCTCTGTGGCTCAATGGTCCTCATGAATACACCTCAAATATAAATGATATCCTGAAAGTCCGGAAAGCCTACTTATAAACAAAAAATCTCCGATTTCGGTGCTGACGTGCTTAGCTTTTGTCCATCGTATAACGAACATCATCTGAGCTGGATATCATCCGGTTCATCCCTAAAATCTGTATATACACGGTATATCTAAGCTTTCCGTTGGAGTATAAAGTGGTTTTGTTAGCTTAATTTTTTGTAAACCTCAAAGCATGCGAGCGTGTCTGTCTGTGTGTATTTATGTGCCTTCATATGTTCGTATATGTGCGAAACAGCAGTGATGGATTAAAGTAATTAGGACAGAAAAGTAACATCTGCTCTCGGCCATCAAGGTTTGATGACCACAAGCACCCCCTTTATACATATATACATATTTTTAAAAAACTATCATTCCAATTGCGTAAAGTAGGGCACAAGTCTGGTTTGGTTGGTGGGCTTTTTGTCTTCATGTACTAAAAAGCACAGAAAAGTAGCCATAATTGGAACTAAGACGAGAACTATAAGTTGAGTCGACTGCGTATTCAGGCAGCTCAGAACCCTCTTTATCCTTGAGTCTATTAATTGAGGATAAGTAGTTATTCTCCTACTTCTTGCCGGTATTCCGTACATTCAATGATTTGTCTAGTCGGTTGGCTTCGATGGCCTCTCATTTTAAATTTAACCGTAGACAAACATAAATCAGCAGAAAGTCACGTTTGAGACCATTTAATCACACGTCCACTTTCTACTGTGTACTGTCTAGCTCCAGACCAGTGAATTTTCCTGACTCATTAGCTTAAATATGGTTGTAAGAATTGTACCTTACTCTGATGATCTCCGCCATACTATGAATAAACCTACCTCGGAAACAGCATCAACCAGAAGGTTCCAGAAAAACTAATTGACAACAGGCCGTCTTCTAATGGAATCGACATTCAAATCTCTTCACCAGAAACTTCCACTCGAAATGGAGTCAAGTTCAACAATTATGAAGCAGGAGATTCATTGCAATCTCACGTTTCTTCGAATAGGGAAAAATACTCACATGTGATGCAAGTAACACAGTCAATTGCAACCGCAACTCAAGTTGGCCTCACTGACAGTGTCGCACTAAAACTAACTTCGAGACAGAGGCCTATCCTCCCTGAAGTTCATCTTTATCCTGCAACACACAATAACCCGCGCCTGTCTGGCGAAATGGTAAAGAAATTTCGAAGTATCCATTTTTGTGAGGCTATTAGTAATTCGTGAATAAGAACCTAGTCCGCCAATGTCGTTTAAGCTTATTTAAAGACTGATGGTTGAGTTTTCTCACAATCGGATGAGTGAACCACACGACGCTGTAGAATTTCATTTAGCTTCACATCTCAAAAAACTATCCGATCTCGCCTGGACTAAACTGCAGTTTTGACCTCGATTTATAGTCAACACTTCCATCACACTTCCAACACTTCCAGCAGGTTTAGATAGCTGGTCGTGAGTAGCATGGCGATGTTATCACTTCACTCCATGAAGCGGCAATGGGTACAAGAGGGTCACAGGGCAGTTGTGACATTCAACGCCATCCAGGCTTCCGGCAAATCACACTTTTTACAGTAGGAATATCGATTAAGCAAAAATGTGTTTGCCACTGTAAGCCATGGCATTACTTAATATTGATGTGAGTAGCATTTTGAGGCTATCAGTAATTCTTGAACAAGACCATAGCCTAGATACTCACCCGATTTCGTCTAAAGTTATGAAGACCTGGTAGTTGAATTTTCTCAAGATGCCGTAAGTAAGCCTTACGTTTCATTGAAGTTCAAGTAGCCTTGCTTCCCAAAATGTATTCCCTTTCAGGTTGAAGTGAACTGTAGGTTCGGCCTCGCCTAGGTCTTAGACCCATGAACGGGTCTCGAATCCGAGTTGCGCAACGTATAGTCTCAACACGCCAGTCACCACGCCACAATTCCGTGAGTGCTATTTGGTCATGGAGCAGAAAAACATTTCAAAGGAGTTTACGCCTTTCTCACATCACGTTTCTGTGGTATGATTGTCGACGAGGTAAAGTAACTAATACTTATGGCAACCAACTACATTACAACAAGCTATTCCAGACTAGGTCGTCTACAGTCTACACACGGCCTGATTTCGCCTCCAATTAGGAGCGTCGACATTAGACCCTCCCTGGTCATGTTCACGCATTGCATAATAAATCCCAAAATTTTCCCTTGTCTAATTGAATGGCTCGGATTTCCCAAGTTGAGCTGATGATCTAGATTAACTAAAGCTATTCTTCAAAATCTCATGATAAATTCATATACTATTCATTCGATGTAAGGTAACAAAATCGATTCTAATAACAAAATATGTTCACAGTATCGGCAACTGTCTAAAGGATTGTGATTTTGGAAAGGTTTGACTTGCCTGGAAAGTCGTATTTTCCCTGAAGCCCAAAAAAACGAAGGCATGAACTGGCAACAAGGATGGTGACACAAATCATCCTGTTTTTAATCCTTTTGGGGGCACTGATGGAATGAAGTAAAGGTCGAATCTGCAATCCATCTCGACGAAGGTTTCGTGAGAAATTAGGCTAGTTAAAATGGAATCTTGATGGGAAATTCAATTATTAGTCCTTACAGCACCTTAAGCGACTTGGGGTGATCTAAGTTCTAGCACAAGTTCTACCCATAGTTGGTCAATTTAGTCATCTGTTGTATGGTCATTTCGTAAGAATTTTGAGAAGGAGTCAGGCATTTTCAGGCACTTTATCTCCCTAGGGCACAGATTATAATTACAA